TCATCATCATCATCATCATCATCATCATCATCATCATCATCATCATCATCATCGTCATCATCGTCATCATCGTCATCATCTTGTTTCACAGTAGGAAAAATATACTTGAAACTTGGTGTTGGTCATATTTAGTCCGATGTTCTTACAGATGCTGGATTCTTCACGTCTTGGGCTTCTTCAGGAACATAGGATCTAAGGTAAAAAAAAAAGAGTGATGATGCCATAGCAACAAAGCGTTCACTCTTAGTCACTAAATGGTGGGATTTGGACGATATTGGAAAGAGCAGACGCGAAGCTCAGAAAAACAAAAGCTAACTTGTTACTGCCATGGTCTTGGCTGCGTGTACAGATATGTGAAAATTGGTCACACATAGCGTTGAGAGCTGACGCAGAACTGACACAAATAAATCATCATCATCATCATTATCATCATCATCATCATTATTATCACCAATATCATCATCATCATCATTGTATATAGGGAATAAAAAAGGGTTGAGATTTGTAGATTTTTCAAATTTAGCACATCATGATTATCATCATCTTCATCATCACCATGATGTCATCATCAAACCTTGGTTGTTGTTGAGCCGAAGTTGCTGCTAACTGAATTTTCAAAGGGGGGAAGTGATCTTTTTTCTTACTATAGATTCTATTTGACATGTATTTCTATTTGACATGTATTTCTATTTGAAATTTATTTCTATTTGACATGTATTTCTATTTGACATTTATTTCTGTTTGACATGTATTTCTATTTGACATTTATTTCTATTTGACATGTGTTTCTATTTGTCATGTATTTCTATTTGTCATGTATTTCTATTTGACATGTATTTCTATTTGTCATGTATTTCTATTTGACATGTGTTTCTATTTGACATGTGTTTCTATTTGACATGTATTTCTATTTGACATTTATTTCTGTTTGACATGTATTTCTATTTGACATGTGTTTCTATTTTCCCCCCTGTTTTCCAACCTGTGTTCAGAAAACCACATTCCAAGGTCTGTCTCAAGAGACGCTACAGGCCTGCATCGTGTCTCTCAAGAACGCCAAGGAGGGAATTGTCAAGAGAAAGGTAGTGTTTTGTTGTGAACTTTGACCCACGGCCATTGCTGTGCTTGGAGGGGTGTGGTGCGGGTGGCTGGAGGGTGTCACTTGTTGGCCCTGTTTCTTTTCTTTTTCGCCTGTAGTTTCTGTTTGCTTGTCTGTCTTTCCTTTTCCTTGCAATCCCATGAACGTAATAACTGTTGTACTGTCGATGTGTTTTTCTTCATTCAAACTAACAAAAGTAGGTTTCGTTTATGACTATATCTTTTTGCAAGTGCCTTAAAACTCTTACTATGTGGGTGGTTGGCGGGTGGTCTGGTGTGGTTTGATTCTTCTTTCATATCAAACATCTATTGTCTTTATCTCCCCTCCTTTTTTGTGTTTGTT